ACCCAGTCAGACTCCATTTAAGGCTTACTCAGTCTTCCTCCCAATATCTTGGAGAGCTCAGGGCCAAATGATTTAATCTTCATTCAGCTAATTTAGTCTGGATTTAAGCTGCCGGGTTGTCGAAGTGCAGAGTGATGGAGTCTGAAAACAGGATGAGAGGGAAAGGGGAGAGGAGGGGAAAACGGAAGGAAAGAGGAAGGGAAAGAGAGAGCGAGAGAGATAAAGATAGAGCGATGGAGGGAGAAAGAGAGAGACGAGGGAGGGAGGGAGGGGGGCTGAAGATGATGATCCATCCTGACCCTAGTGAATGCTGTCATGTTCCTCCCTCTAGGTAATCTCTCTCACTCACTCGCTATTTTGCATGTGAAAATGCTCTCCTGACAGTTGCATATCAGATAAATTTTCTCTCTTTTTTCCCTCTCCCCCCCCCCCCCCCCCCCCCCCCCCCGTTCCCTTCACCAAATAAACAACAGTCTTCACTTTGAAGTTGTCTGTTTGTGTCAGTTTGGCTTGAGGCGAGAGTCGGCCTCTCTCTCTTTCCGTCTTTGTGTTGCTATGTGAGAGCATCAGCGGATTATTTCCTCTCACCAACCGGCCAACACAAGACGAAAAAAGCAGGGAAGGAATCCTTAGCTGCCCAAAAAAGCCAACACAATTAATCCAGTCAATTAACAAAATGCTGTTTGTTTGCACGCCAATTGAATTAGTGTGATCATCCACAGCATAAAACCAAACTTGCAGTCAGAAGGGGCTGTGGTGTCAACCCTAAGCTATGACATTGTCAGTGAAAGTCATATTTTTTATCTGATGCAGTGAATTGCGGGGTTAGAGGAAACATTTGAATCCTTTTCCATTTGTAATTTTATTATTATATATTTATGATTCATACAAAACCGGCCTGCTTTTAACCCACTGTTTTTTGGTTGTTTATCCAGAACACATGATTACAGTTCACACTTAACACACACTCTGCAAGATCCCTCTCAACAAGCACCACCTCGCCACGTGGGGGTGATAGAGAGCGCATGGTAATGAGTCAGGTCTTTTTTCCAATCCCTGTTAGGTACAGTAAGTCCTCCTGTGGGATTTATATCACAATTAAGGCCAGTGTGGCCTGTGATGTTCTGACAGTAGCCCTATATGCCTGAACTGATGACAAGATCACAGCACAGTATAGATATGGTAATGAGTGACAGTATAGACACAGCAGCATGCAGCTTTCTGAACGTACAGGCAAGAGGCCCACCTGGGTCTTTGAATAAATCTGCACAGGGTGTCAATCATGTCGCCTTGCTTCGTGATCAGAGGGAGAAAAGAAAGGGGGAAGATGGAGAGATGCAGGAGGAAGAAAAGCAGAGATATAATGACTGGGAGTAGAACTTGCTCACGATTACAGTTTATTCCTGCTGATCAGAGCTTGATTCTTACTAATTGTTCCTCCTTTTTTCCTCTCTTTTTCTTCTATATTTTGAAGTATGATTTTAAAACTGTTAAAACTGTGGTTTGGTCTTTCTAGTGTGTGGTCATTTAACATTAAAAAGACCAAACAGGTATACATCTACACATCTATATACCATAATTTGATTTTAGACCTGAAAAGGTATAAGCATTAAAAAATGCACGTTAAAAGCACCTTTTTATTAGTGTTTCCGCTCAACACAACATGTTCAAGTGCCTTTCTGTTGTAGTTTGTTGGCCAGCACCTCTCCCGCTGAAGCTCTGTGGATGTGCACTACTACACAGACTATTCTAGCCTATTATGATATAATGCATCTACTTTCACAATCACACAGGCAGTTACTTTATGTGCTTTAGACCTATTAATTACACGGCATTTCCATCATTAATAGCCTGTCATCTATTTCATTCTGTTTTTATTATTTATTTTTATTTTATTCCAAGGTACCTCAACATTTTTGAAAATATTAAAAGGTGAAGGCCCTAAAAATAGAGATCCTACAATTGATAATAATTTATCATTCTATTAACAGATTGATTTATGTTATTTTATGAGGTACAAGTTTGAAAGCAAACGTTCCATCACTAAAATTCTAAACTTCTTCTTTTTCAGACCTCGTTGAATCTGAAATATGTTGTTTAGTGGGTTAAAATTCAGTTTTAGAAAGCAAAATAAAAAGTCTTGAAACAAATTGGCAGACCATTCTTACTCTCTACTTCTGTCTCTCTTTCCCTTTCTACCTCCTTTATACACATGCACACACAGATTCACTCAGCCTCTCTTTCTCTCCGTCTCTCTTCCCTCTACCTCCTACCTTTGGTGTGTTTTGCATGGCGCCTGGCTGTTTAGAGGCAGTATGCATATGTATGGGCGAGACGGTGGATCGTGACGGGATCTGACATGCGGGGACAAGATCAAAGCGCTCCATCTGATCCCATAAAAACAGACGCAAACCCTCCTCTCATCCTTACAAAACCCCCACTGATAGTCAACTCTGCCAGCCCTGACTCCTCCATCTTCTCTCCTCTCGCCTTTTTCTCTCTCTCTCATTTTTCCCTCCATCCCAGCATGCCGCGTGCCCACGTCAAGGCCTGCCTGCCTGCCTGACTTTGCGATTACGCCCTGTGATAAACAATGGCCTGTTTAGCTCATAAAGCAGGAGTGTTGTGCATAATGCTTACAATAAAAGATAGCATCTCTTCACTCATCTTATTTACCTCTCCCACGGTGGCATGGGCGACGAGCTGTTCTATAAATACTGTAGGGAGGAAAGAAAAGGAAGGAAATACAGATGCAGACATACATCTGTTGGTCAAATAAAATCTCTGCCAAGTCAGTTGATGAGAACAAGAGGAAAACATGGTTGTTTAAATATGCATTTGAGCTTAGAGCCAGGTGATAAAGGCGCCATTTTAAAGCTGTTCCATCCATCCTGGTAAGTGAACTTAAAATGTCCTCTCAACTAGCATAGGATGACATCCATATCATATTTAGATGCATCTTCATGGAACATATAGATTGATAAGGAAGCCGGGACACATTTTCCTTTCTATCTCTCTCTCTCTCCCCACCTCCCCATCTTTAATCCTCCCTTTCATTCCCCCCCCCCCATCTTCCAGTAAGGAAGATGTATGAGTTTGAATTATTGATTCAGACACATGCTACATGCTGCTTGGAGTCATTATTTGTTCAGGTGAGTGTCATGCTGCTCGCTATGAAACAGATACCACAGGGATTAAGCGACACAATCAGGACTTAAAGACAGCCGCCCTCCCTAAAATAACATGGCCCTCTCTGCAAGACGAATGCTCCCCAAAACTCGACTTCATTTGTTTATGACTCGCACATTAGTCATTCTGTGCCTAAATTATAGTGGGGGTAAAGATTAATTCAAGCTCAGGCTTTTTCTATTGTTTTTATTTTTGTGTGTTTCTTGAAGCCTAATAACACAGCAGATGAATATAGGTGCAAACATCCTACACGTTGATAAAAATAAAATAAAAAAATACTGCTTTTGTTGGTTGGTAGGCGTCTGCATGAAGAATAGAGGGATGTCCGGAGTCAAGAAAGAACATCATGCATTACCACATTTTTGTCCTGATCTCAAAAGAGGCTTTCCGCAGCATACAACCAAACAACACTCACCACTCACACATTTATTGGATTGATACTGACTATCCAAAGCAGAGCGAGCAGTGCTAACGTTGTTTATGTGAGCAGAGATCGGAACGACGTGCTCATCGCGAAGTTCAGATGGAGGAAAGCTCTGATACAGGAGCCTTAAGAGCGAGGTGGGAGGTAAAATGTTGCTAACTGTTCATTTAGCCCTGGCTAAGTGGTCAGGGACGCTGGACAGGTGAACTCTATTCTCCCCACTGGCCCTGCGGGGTGTGTGTGTGTGTGTGTGTGTGTGTGTGTGTGTGTGGACTGTAACAGAATTTCTCCAGTCCTCTGGGCCCCGGTGCAAAGCAGAGAATAAATGGTGGAGGTGGCAGCCCAGGACAGAAAAATCAATGCCTGCTTATACAGACATGACACACCAGCAGCCAACTGCATTCTGTGTGTGTTGTGTGTGTTTGTGTCAGTGTTGGTGTAGATGTACAGCACGCAGTCATATGGCCCTGTGCTCTGTGGGTGTGAGTGCGAGTACCCAACAACCTCCATTTCCTTTCTCACAGGGTAGATTGTCTAGCATTTTACGCCAGCTTTGGGATCAGTAAATAACTCTTCGTTTTTCCCTCCTCCTCCTTCTCCTCCTCCCCCTGATTCCCCTCTGCCTCTCTTCTCCTCCTGCAGGAAGTTTGAATGCGACTTGTGTGAGCGCTCCTTCAGTGAAAAATGGGCCCTGAACAACCACATGAAACTGCACAGTGGAGAGAAACCATATAAGTGCGCCTGGCCGTCCTGCCACTACGCCTTCCTCAACCTGTCAGCCATGAAGGACCACTACAGGACACACACTGGTGAGACACTGAGAGCTAGTAACCTCCACCATGAACTATCACTACTGTCCCCCGCCATAAACACGTTGACTGACACTCTAAACTGCAAAATTCATGAGATTTTCTTTTTTTACCGGCAAATAGCTTTTTTGTGAGTTGGAGACAGAAGGTTATTTATCAAGAAACACTATACTTGGATCAGACAAAATGTACTTTTTCATTCCTCTATAGCTGTAGACTGTTTAACAAAATGAAGTTTGTGTGTTAACTGTGAAATCTCACATTAATTATGAATCTTCACAGCTTTGTTTGGAAAAAAAAATCTACACACGTTTTTGGCTTTAGCCATGACTTGTCCATCTGTACTGATTTTCAACATCCAGAGAAATTTGAGAACTGGTTCTTGGCGGTCTTGCCGACACTCTTGGTAGATGATAAAACCCTTCCTCCTGATCTTGATACGACCGTCCCAATTATATGATCTTATATCAGCCAGGAAAAAGATGTTTGTATTACATGTTTGTTTTCTGCCAAACCTCCAGACTTAAGGTAGTGTGTATTCCCCAAATCCAACTGGTTGTCATGTGTATTTCCCCAAAATCCATCTGGTCACCGAGTGTGTGTGTTCCCCAAACCCAGCTGGTCAGCAAGGGTGTGTTTATCGGATCCATCTGATCCTCAAGAGTGTGTTTTCCCACATTGAACCAGTCTAGTGTGCTTCTCTATAATGCATAAAGGGAAAAGAGGGGGAAATGCATTAATTCTGGTATGTGTGTGTTTATTCATACCACGTGTGTCCCACCTTTGATCCAAAAAACTATTAGAATTTGAGTAGATTCCCAAATAGACCAAAAATAAATTTTAATGATTTATAGCAATTAGATTTCAGAGTTTTGTTTGTTTTTCTGTCTCTTTAAAACCATGACGTGTGTTGTATATATTATTAGTGTAACTAGCAATGCAGACGGTGCACTTATTTTACTCTCTTTTCAAACCTTAATTAAATCATACTTTTGAATATACATTGTAAAGCTTTTCAACAAACTGATGTGATAATAACCAAGTGGATCTCTAGTTTTCCCTCTTTATTTCTGTTTTTATATATGCAGTGTCTTTTCTTTACCATTCTGTCCTTCCCTTTAATTTCTGTACGTACACTACACTGTGGGACTCCACTGACTGTACTGACTCGTGTGTTTTTTTTACTTACTAAAAACTTTGGATAGACAGATCATGCGGTGGGCGGTAGAAGGATACTGTCTTGAATAATAGCCCCACGATAGGAGCCCAAGTCAGTCTCTCTGAAAGTGTCTTTATGCTGCAGCCCAGCAGTTTCCCCTCGGCCGCAGTAATGTCCCACACACAGCTCCTTGATGCCCTTTTAAGTCAATGACAGAAGCAGCAGCAGCCAGTGGTCTGACAGCCTGACTGAGCGCTTGCAGGAGTGCCCTCCATCCGTCACGGGTGCCTGCTGTGTCTGTGTGTGTGTGTGTGTGTGTGTGTGTGTGTGTAAGACTTGCTGGATGTTATTTTAAATGTGTTTTAACAGTGATGTAATGTCAAGGCGCCTCTGACATAATTAGACGTTTTATTTTCATTAGTTTCCAGCCCTCATCATTCCCCATCAGGCGGCTGCCGTTGCACTGTCACCTAGCTGTCACCTGGAGAGGTGTGGGGTGGTGTGTGGGTGTGTGTGAGTTTGGCAGGAGGAAACACAGACTTGAAGAGAGTGAGTGAAGTGATTGAGATAGAAACAGGAAAGTGATGAAATGAGAGCGCTTGAAAGATCATGGGTGACCAAGTATGAGCATATGAAAATAGGAGAATAAAGACTGAACCCGAAACAACTTCATTTTTGTGAGTGACAAGACCGGACTTGATTAGCAACCCCGAACAAAAAGCTAACAAAATTTGCTCTACTGTGTCCATCCGACACTCTTTGCCAGTTGTAATTGGTGCTGGGTTGGACGGTTAGCTACAGCTATACAGTCATTGCAATCACATTCCAGCTGCCAACCTGAAACACTGAAATATTATCTGCACGTGTATGATCTGTTTAAAGGTTATAAATTGTCTCCTGAGATGCAATACTAATAAAATAAGTAGGGGATTTTAAAGTTGAGCTAATCTTTACTGGAGCCGAGTGTAATGATACACACATTTAGCTCATTTGTTGGAACTGTAAAACTCAGTGGCAAGTTTTAAATGAGTTGGTCTTTGTCACAAGTGTATAATTGGGTTTATAATCCTTTAAAATAACATTTCTAATTCCAGTCAGTGTCACGATATTATGCTGAAACACCATGTGACAGATTGAGCGCTGAGACAATATATACACCGTGAACAATACGCCAGAAATACAATGCTTCAAATGACCAAGTGCGTTAAACCCCTCCCCCGAACAGTTGTTTTTCAATCATAGCTTAGAAAACCGTAAGTACACCTGGCAGACCTGCCAAGTTTTGGACTTCTTCACATGTTGGTACGGTATGCGTGGGACTGTAGTGAGAGTGATACGCTGTACGTAACAGTGTGGAGGCCCATGAATTTTTTTGCCTTTTCCAAACCAAAAACACAGCAGCAAGAGTGTAGAGAATGGATTATTTTTTGTTGCAAACATGAGCATGTTTGGCTAAGAAGCAAACCATTTAAAGTACCTAAACTCGCTTGACTCCACAGTCAGGAGCATTTAATTCTACATTTTTGCCGTAGATCGAACCAGAAACCTTCTGATTACAAGACAACTGCTTGACCTCATGATTATTCCTCATTCTAAAAGCCCTTTCTCTTGCAAAGTTAAAGTTAAAAGTGAAACATACTATTTGAAAATACAAACAATAAAGCATAAATCAAATCATCTGTCTTACTTGTCCAAGTATTTATGTATGTAAGCTAACACTAGGACTAACTACCGCTACTGCTGACAAGAACAAATGCTGCTGATCATGCTTTCTTTTTACCTTGGACATGGGTTTTGCATCAGTCTTTTAGCATGTTACGTATATGTAGACATCAAGTGCATATGTAAGACCCTTTAACAGGGTTCCCATTTTTAAATGAGTCATCCTAAAACATTTAGACGTCAGCCGGCGATGGAATTTCAGTTAACTGTATAGAGCTAATGTTGGCATAAATAGCTAGCTAGCTACAGTTGTTGAAATGTGCTAGCGACAGTTATCATTTTAGCTGACATATTTGTGGTCGCTGGCTAGAAATGAGAATCCTTCTTTTGTCAACCTCTGTCTGTATTATAGTATAGAAGCATTGTTTTCAAGTGATTTTTGAAACCCATTGTTTCAAAACAATTTCATATGGTACGGTTAATCTGCCCTCAGTATCATTTTAACCCGCATATGTGCAAGGTTGACAGGCATAGCAACAGTAACTAAGGGGGCGGTACTTTGCAAATGGTCAGTTCAGCAAGAAACACTCAGGGCAAGGCAAACTCAACAACACATATTTTGCATTTGCACCCATAACTACATTGTAACCAAACGAACAACCACGAAGTAAGGAGTCCCTAATGGAAAATGCATTTCATCATCCAATGGATAGAGTTGCTGGTTGTGACATGCAGAGCCCCCCTCCCCCAAAAAGGGAAAAAAAAGTTAACACCTCCACTCTCCTTCTCCTGCCTTTAACGGGATTCATTGTTTGTCTCTGATTTGTGTGTTTTTTATGTTAATCACTCCCTCCTCACACACCAGTCATGTCTGAGGGAGAGGGAGCAGGGCGGGGGCGGGGGATTCAGTGGTCGTCAGCCACCAGGGTCATTTGTAACGGCTGATGAATGAGAGACTCAAATAAATAAATAAGTGCACTGCATCTGACCCACCCAGTTTTTCCCAGGCTCTTGGGTGGTGTGTGTGTGTCTGTGAGAGGGGGGGGGGGGCTGAACACAGCGACAGGGCCACAATTGATTTCCTCATTGCTTCAGTTTGTCGCTTAATCTGGCGATATGCTGATAAATCTTCGCACTTTGTCAATTAATTTCCCTGAAAAATGAGACCCAAAATGGCGAGCACATCAATACAGCAGCGGATTCCGTGTCAAAAATTAAGCGGTAAAATTAATTGCCCTCCCATTCGCTCCTGCTAAAACATAACTAATGAGGGAGGCAATTATAGCTGCATGCAGACGCCTCCAGGGTTATTTAAAACACACATACACACACACACACACACACACACATATATATATATATATATATTCACACACACGCAAAGAGAGGTTGTATATTTTGACTTCAAAGTTCTTTTATTGTCTCCCAATAAGGCATATTTTATTCCAGTAAGGGGTGGAGGGTTGAGGTGTATGATGGGAACAAGAGAGAAACCATGAGTCGATATTCAAATTGCCAAAAAAGTTTAAGGGCTCTCAGTGCAGACACATTAACAGGAAATGTAGTTTTTATGGCATTGTCATATCTGGAACTGGACTTGGCGTACACTGGCTCATGTATGCTTTTAAACGGACCTATAGCTTGATTTTGGTTAGTTTGCAACTGTGTGCATCTGGCCTTCACCTCTGCAAGGGAACATCTGAGGATTGATCTTTAAGTTCAGAGTGTAGAGAGTTCAGGTTAGAGTAAGATTTTAGGTTGAGGCTCATAAACATGGTTTTAAGGTTTATGTACGGATAAAGTTTAACGTAAGGGTGAAGTCTTATTCGTGGACCAATAAAAGGTAGAAGTTATGGTGAATCACAAATAAATGCAGTCAAAGCAAGGTTGTGTTGTGGGTTAGGGGTCCATGTTGCTTTAGCCAGCCAGATCCTCCGGTGCTGACAGCACGTCACTCTTCTCTTACCCCACCTCCCTACCCAGGTCCTTGGAGGGATCACCGCCACAAAACAGCAGATGAAAAACACACATGTAATTTATCGCCAGTGTTTCCTCCTCAAGAATAATTGTGGCGACCGCGGCTGGGCGTAGGGATCGATGGCTATGGATTTTTCTGTGGTGGGGTCTTGTAGCGTTGGGCGTAATGAGAGATGGAAGGGAGAGAGGAGAGGGGAGGAGAGGAGAGGAGGAGTGGACCGGTGCTATTTTCTGATAGAGAGAAAAGGTCCGACCAGATCCTTAGGAACTATTCTAGAGTTTAGATGCACAGGAATATTGAAGGCTTTTATACTTTTCTCTCCATGAGCAACGTCCTACATGAACACATGAAGTATCTGCCAAAGTTAAAACAGTTTTGGATACTTACGTTACATACATATGTTTGTGGCTGTGTCAGTGCTCCTCTCACTGGTTTGTAGTGAGCAGGGCTCCTCCACAAAAAGATGATGTCAAATGTTAACATGCACCAGTCAGGATTTCAAACTTGAACTTGATGTGCTTACCCTGGTCGTGAATATTGAATGATAATGAGTACTTTCTTTTTAGAGGGTTTAAAATATCGATGCTTTCCTTTTTATTTTGTCTCCATCATTTGTGCTAAATGCTCAGTGCAGTGTTTCTGCTCATCAGAGATCACTGGTCAATCACTGGGATCTCTTTTTCCTTCATTTTATTCAGATGAACCAATTTTTTTAAATCTGAATAAAATATTGTTGCAGTGAAAAATACAAACTATGTAACTTTCTGTAGCCCATTTTCACATTCTGTGATATTTTCTTTCTAGGAACATCAGACATCAGGTATTTAGGACAGCAAATGTAAGATGAATTTCATGCGGCCACAGAAGGTAGTAGAATGGATATTTATTTATATGAAAACATTGTTCCTTTAAGGGCCATTCACACTGGGATTGAAAAGTGAATCTGTATGAATTGGCTAATGAATGCACCTTTTTAAGGCTTTTCTCCCCTCTAAGTGGCACTGCATTAAAACTCTTCTCACAGTCGAGTGGCTTTAAATGGGTGTAATAGAAGAAACTTGAGGCTGCTTTGTCTCTGCGGACTCAGTGAAAGCTGCTATCTGTACAGAAGAGGAGCAGAGCACCGCCGAGGCCCAGCTGGAAGAGTCACCCAAATGTGTTATCAGTGTGTGGCGAGAGCTGGAGTTCAACATCAGCATTTAGATGAATATTTAAGTGATGTACATGTGCAGTGAGTGTCTGTATGTTAGAATGTGTGGTACGTACAGTGTCTTAAATGTATGAGCTGGTATACACCATGTACATGTGTGGAAATGTGTTAACTTGCGCACCACATGCAATTTTATTTGTGTGTCTGTAAGTGGGAATATCTGTATATCAGTATGTGTGTGTGCGCATTTGCATGCACATCTGTGCCCGTTCTATAGATGTGTTTGTATGTGCACGTGCATGTGTTTCCCTTAGCGAATCTTAGCACTAATGTTGCTGTGAGTGTGTAGGAGTGTGTGACTGCCTGTGTGCAATGGCAGAGAGAAAGAGAGAAGTAGAAAGAGAGAGAGGGAGAGACCATCATGCTGTTAATGACAGAGCCAGATGCAGGGAAGAGAGGAGGAGTGTAAAAAAGCTCTCCACGCTCCCCATCTGGAAGGCATCGCCCTCAAATGAAGTTGTACAAAACCATCCCATTGATAATAAAGCTAATTTTTATGGCTCTGACAAGTATGTAATTATGTTCAGCGGTGCTTTTCAGATTTTATCACAGTCAATAAACCACACTGGCAATTTCCCGTCCCCCATTTGACATATTTACACGGATCCATCTGATTGGAGGAATTAGTTAGCTGTGAGAGCTCTGATGGATATACACTAGTGATCTGTGACTTCTGCTTGGCTCATCTGTTAGCCAACTAGACCCACTGCTCATCTGTTCAATCTGTCTTTCCTTTTCTCGGTTTCTTCTCCCTGACACATTTCTCCCAATCCATTAATACAATATTTTCTTTTCTTTGTCTTTATTTGAGCTCTCACTTCCTTGCTCAGTGGCACCTCAGCAGGAGTTCTGAGTGAAGGAAGCATCAGTCATTCCCTCCTCCACCAGACTTTCCCACTCGAAAGGATTCAAGGATTTCATAAATCTATTTCAATAACCTTTTGCTTATTACCCCCCCTCCGCCATGCACAAACATACACAGTATTTGAGGTTTACTATGTAATTGTATTTATTTTTAATTAAGGTTGTTGCAAGTTTAAAATTAAAAAGTGTTAATGACAGAGTAATTATAGTGAGCCATTTTTAGTGTTGAGGCAGGGGAAACAACTGATGTAAGACAAATGTCATGAATTGTGTAGATTCACATACTCGTGTGAATGAAACCAACAGTAGTTGCAGTTTATTTAATCATTGATGACATTATTTGTATTTGCAGTGTCATAATAAGCGTGATCCAAATGCACATACACACAAAACACGTAGGTTAATATATAACGCACACATACATATTAAAAATATAAACATGTAGTCTTTTAATTTGATTTAAATTATTAAGCTCAATTCACATCCCTAAATCTTAAAGGTTTCATGTCCTTTTACAGTTTCAGCATTTAGAAATATCCGTTTTTTTGTTGCTTTGTGTTGGTTTTCAAGTTGGTGTAAATTTAAGGTAACAATCAAACAGTTTGAGAAGGTCCTTAAATTAACTTTTTATATCCTGTCAGCATTCTCATCTCTGTAACAGGAAAGCATGATTGGGTATCATTATTTCCAAGTCCTATTAAAAGATAGTTTTGTTTTGTTTTTTTACCACATGGGGTTCATTTTTATAACTGTGGCGATGAATTATCATAACATTATATTCACCAAAGCAATTTTTGAGATCTGGGAACATGGCAACATCACTTAAGCAAATTACACTAGTGGTCAGATGATCAGACAGACTGTTAACAAGATAACACTGTAGCCAGATTATTTGGGAGAAAACTTTTACTAATTACAGAAAGAACATAAGTAAGTGCACACAAAATGTGGGCACTAAGCCCTCATTACACGTCAAGTTCGGTAGGCAAGCTATTAACTGTGAGGGAGGTTTACAATGGGGCATTGTGGGTAATTTAACTGTTTGCATCATTCTCTTGCAAGTGAGTTTGTTTGTTCCAAACCTGTATGATTGGCTGGCTGCTTGTGTTTGCTTGTTTGTTTTTTTGCTGAGTCCTTACCACAGCGGCCCGGGTTTGAGTCCAGCCCGCGGCCTTTTGCTGCATGTCGTCCCCTATATCTCTCCTATATTTCCTGTCTCTCTTCATTTGTCTCTGTTAAATTAAGGCTAAAAAGGATCCCAATATATTCTTTCAAAATAAGACTCTTGTAATAAACTTGAATTATACTTTAAATAATAATTTTTCTTGGTTTATTGAAGAAGATCTGGATTTGAATGAGTGTATAGATGAATATTTAATAAATATAGTATAAATGAAGAGTTAATTTTTCCTTCTCAGGTTCTTGCCTCTTCTCCCTTCTTCTCCCCCTCTGATATGATGAAATGCCATTTGTGTTTCTCCTATGATTTTTCTCTCCATCCTAGCAGCCCCTAATGCTGTGTTCTTCCCTTTCGTCTTCTCTCAATCTGACTGTACAGGAGAAAAGTCTTATCTGTGTGACCTGTGTGGTTTTGCTGGAGGCACAAGACATGCCCTCACCAAACACAGACGCCAACACACAGGTAAGCAGCAACGCACACATTCTGAACTCACGCTGTAAACTAATCTGACACACTAGCTGATGTATGTGTGATTGACACTTCAAGATCTGGACGAGCCCAATATTTCCACATAGTTTTAGCAACTGTTTGCTATCGCTCTCTTGCGCGTACACACACACACACAGAGGCACATCAGTGTGACATGCTGCTGTCAGTGATAGGCATGTGTACCAGTATGGCTGACTGAATCTGAGATTTTTAATTTCAGTTATCATTTCACCATGTCATTCTGTCGCTTAGGGAAATTGCATTTTTCAGATAGGCTGTCAATAACGAGTGCTTTTTTGGAAATTGGGATAGTGAAACAAATACTGTTCTTAACCGTTGTCTGGCAGGCGCCCAAGGATCAAGAATCCTGTTATAAATATTCATTTAGATTTTCATAATTCATTTTGTTTGCTCCTCAGTTTCTCTGTCATTTCCCCCCGAAACCTCCAATTTCTGTCCTCCTCTCCTGTGTTGACATGTGTCAATTCCACTGATTTAGCTGCATATTCAAATATGTTGTCACACAGCTGCATATGGAGGGACCACACTGTCTGACAGAGTTTTCTTGTCAGTTTGACTGATACCCACTGCTGATGCTAATATTTGTGTTGTTCAACATTTTACCATTATTTAGTATTATATACTAAATATATAAATATTTCCACTTTCATGACCAACATTTTCTATGATGCAGTGGCTAATGTTGTTCTTTTCAGTAGCCTATGGAAATGTCACTGTAGCAGCATTTTACGAAACATCTTATATGTTCTGTAGGTTAGCAGTTCCTTAAAACAGGTTGAGGTTTTATTGCAGGTTTTAAACACTGAAATCTGTTAAGCTGTTGAGTAAAACACTCCCTCACTACTCTGGTCTGCCATTTGAAATACAAAAAAATAAAAAAAACTTTTAGAGAGTAGAAAAGGCTGCCTGCTATGGTCAATTTTAAACTTGCTGTTACACTTACAGACATCAGTCTTACTTTGGTTTTAAGCAGAATTGATACCTTGACCCTGTGAGCATGCCCTAACAATTTAGAATCAAGTCTCCGTCTCTGTAAGATTAATGGCTATGTGTCAAATATGGTAATCATCTATCATCTAATGACAGAGATCTCCCATCTGGACTTCTATCAAAATCTTACCCGTCATATTTCATGGAGATGCATTCATAAGTTTTAAACATACCCAGCTGAACACATTTGTACTGCTTTCTACACATCAACTGACACTTCAACTCATTTTGACTTACTTTTAGAGAACAGTTTAAAAACTTCAGCTGACACTGTTATGTGAGTTATGACATATGTGCAGTGCACACACTTCAGCTATACTGTATCTGATGCTTCAGTTGAAATTTCAACTGCTAATCTTCAACTATTAGTTCAACTGTTTTTAGTGTTAAAAGCCTTTTAAATGTGTCAACTAGAAGTGCACCTCCAGCATATTAAAATATTATTTAGACATTTTAACTTGTTTAGAATTTTTGTACCTGCAGTGTTCAGAGTAAGCAAGCATGCTGCAATGTAGTTTTTGCAGTTATATAGTAGGTTCAGAACTGTTAATGGCTCTTTTGTGTCAGAAAAGTACACTGCCAACATTTGTCATTAATTGGTCTCCAAGTTGATCCCACTATGAACAACAAGTCCTAAATTTGGTTAATGTTAAATTTATGTTAGCGAAATGGTGTCACACACAAACCATGTCACTTGTAGCCTTCTACCCTAGTTTGTATAAATATAAATGTGTGTGTATGTATATATGTGTGTGTGTGTGTGTGTGTGTGTGTGTGTGTGTATATATATATATATGTGTGTGTATGTATATGTGTGTGTGTGTGTGTGTGTGTGTGTGTGTGTGTGTGTGTGTGTGTGTGTGTGTGTGTGTGTATATATATGTGTGTGTATATATATATAGTCAGTCAAAACATTTATCTTGGTCTCATCACCATTGTCTGTCTCTTATCTTTTCAACCCCTCCACCCCACAGGAGAGAGACCCTTCAAATGTAAGCTCTGCAACTTCGCCTCCACCACGCAGTCCCACCTATCGCGGCACAAACGTGTTCACACTGGGGAGAAACCGTACCGCTGCCCCTGGTGCGACTACAGGTATCGGCTCATTGACCTGCCCACGGTTGGTGGCGCTGATGGCCACCACCATGGTACTGATGATCAGGGGGTTGATAAGGAGGAGGGGCTGTGGGGAGTTTATTAGTGAGTGTGTGATGGTGAGATAGCAGGTGGCATTGTAGGGTAGTTTGGAGGGGTGTGGGTGGCATTAATGCTAGAGGTTTTGTGTGTTAATGTGTGTGCGTGTGTGTGTGTGTGTGTGTGTGTGTGTGTGTGTGTGTGTGTGTGTGTGTGTGTGTGTGTAAAGGGTGGAGGCCAGACAGGTCTAATCTCGACAGCATGGCTCCATCTCATCACTCTGCCATCATCAACAGGCCCAGCTAGATCTCCCCCAACACGCGCACACAAACACACACACACACACACAATGTCACTGTCACTGGCAGGTCCCTGTCATTAAAACACCATCATACCACATCAGTAATTACACAGGAAATTGTCGGTGAAATTGAAAAAGTTTTGGCTGGCATTGCACATCTCCATCTCTCTCGCTCTTTCTCTCTCTCATCCTGTGCTTCCTCGTCAGGTTGTGGCAAAAGAGTGTGAAAGGGAATGATCTCAAACCCATCATTGGTTTTAGATGTACTCTTCATTCGTTTTTTCCCCTCTGTGACAAAGTCATTTCAGCAGCTTGCTATACCTGCTCCACTGCAGTGAAATGCTCAACTCATTTCAGAAGTCTTTTGTATGCAGTCTAACTTAGAAAAAATTAAATGCTGACAAGTACTAATTGTAGTCAGGCTATTATTTTGCAGTTATCAAAGGATTGTGTCACCTTGTACTGAAAGTTATCGGAAAGTATCTCTTGACTGTATCAGTTAAGGATCAACCAATGTAGAGATTTTTAACTGATAAAGGTTGATTTAAGATGAATATAAGATACTTTGAAGATTTCTATGCCTAAATAATTACAAGTGCTGTGGAAAAAAAGACATGGTTTTTAGGCCTGGATGATGTTTTTATTAGCCAGTGACAGTTGGTCTCCCACTTAAGTTCAGACTGAAATATCTCAACTATTTGATAGATTGCACTGGTATTTTGTACATATATTCATGGTCCCAAGAGGATGAATCCCACTGACACTGATGATCCACTAACTTTCCATCTAGCGCCATCATCAAGTCAAATTGATTTATTTTTCTTTGTTTATGACCAAATACCTGCAAAACTAACATTCCATCAGCCTCAGCCTCAACTTTGTGTTAATTGCTTATTTGAAAATGTTACAATGCTAACATGCTAAACTAAGATGGTGACCATTGTTATTGTGAGCATGTTAGCATGATGACATTAAAAGTACTGTTGTGCCCAAGTACATCCTTAGTGCAACCCCACTATCACAGCTCTAGATTTTTAGTCTTGTTAGATTGAAGCTGTCGATAGTCTATATTTAATTTGAAAACTGCAAGAGTTTATTTTGCCCAGAAAATTTTTGATGACAGAAATGTTAAAAGCCTAAACCTCAGGATCCAGGAAGAAAACCCAACATGGTAGGATGAAGAAGACGCCATTTTGGTGAATCCTATCTTAATGTCTCATTAAACTCAGTCTTATAATGTCAAGGACTTTAAGTGTTAAAAAGGTATGTTAAGGATAGTTTATCATATAAATTGGCTGACTTTTGTCTTTTAACTGAGAGCAAATGTTGGTCCCATATGAAACCACTACACTGGACTAATCCCAGTATCAGAAATATACTGTGCATAGAATGAGCCAAATTTTCCCGGTGCATTGTTCCTGCACTGATACTTAATGATCTTTACAGATAGTGGCAAATGAAACAGTAAATTAGAAGCCCAATTAACATTTTGGTGGCCTCAGGGGTTCTGAGAGGTCTGGGGGGGGGGCTCAGGGGGGGGGGGGGGGGGGGGGAGGATGAGGAAACACCCCACTGGCTTACTAATGTGAGGATGAGGAATTCAATGTGGGGGCCTCAGGCAGCCGCGAGGGGCCTCGCCTCTGCCCTGCTTTTACACTCTCAATGCATGTTTAAAACCATGACGTCCCTGGTGACCTGATCACGATAAGGAACTACCAGATGAGTTAGCCCGTCTGACCTTTCAGTGTAAACCAGGCATATGAAAAAATATGATGCAGTTGTAAAGACATGTTTAGGTCTGAGGCAAATGAAGCACTTGTGTGATTGACAGTTCTTGCTCATAGAAAATATTTATATCTCTTTTTACAGGTATACATTTAATTTCACTATTAAAATATCCATATTAAATGTTATGCATGACATCCATGGTTCCCATTTGATACAATGTGATCTTCTTCAAGGCTGCTTCTCAAATGCATGTAAATGAGCAGGGAGTGAATGATCTATCAAATGCCACTCATCTCCTATTCAGACAGAGATAGATAATAGAGGGGATAATTATAGTTGGGGAATAGTGGTAAAAATATTCTAATGATATTGCACTGAGAGTCCTGGGCTGTCAATTAATGATGTCTACTTGACTATTCTCCAGCTATTTATGCAAGCCGCAAATCTTCTTTACTTTAGTGTTTAACGAATCATTTCTATTGTTCACAATGAGGAGTTTTTTCAACCCTTTTTTTCTCATTAAAGTCACGGTGGCATCGTAAATGGTCTAATTGATATGTAGCCTCTGACTCCTGCCAAGTTACCATCCTTCTGGAGCTATTATTGTTTATTGAATGCTGCAGCATTCATGTTTCAATCTACCTGTTAGAATACCGTTTCAATTTGAGGTGATGGCGGCTTTGAGGTTGGCACGCTTACTGTCAATGCCAGGAAGGTTTGCGACCTTGTAAAGCGAAGGGAGAGATGAGGGAGGAGGGGGAAATATTAATGATGATAACCGGGCCTCCTTGGCAGAATAAGATCCAAATAGCACCAATGATCCAAATAAACCCCCCTCCTAACTCTTAACACACACAAAGAAACACATTTAAATCTCCTCTAACGAAGTGCCTCTCAATTACACCTATCCCATTACCATAGACTCGTTGGGAATATAGGAGGAATATGGAAATGGCCAAAATAAAGGGGAGACAGAGGGAGAGACAGAGCATCACCATGAGCATCAGTATGGCTGATTCCCATGGTGAGTGCATGGATGGGGGAGGAAGTTGAAACAGTGTTGGACTAATTAATACAGTGTATAGTAGGAGGGCTGGTGTGGGCTTTCACTAACTGTGACACCTGCTGACTCCTAAACGCACGTTGTGTTGTTTTAATATGACAATTATGCCATTACCATATCTGAGAGATAGCATGGCCCCCCTAGGAATCCACCCGCGCTCTCTTTAGAACCTTTTAGCTTTGCTTCAAATTTTATCTATTTATGCTCCTGCTTTCGAATAAGAAATCAGTTCACTTTTAATAAAAAATGTATTTTTTAGCAGCATGATTTATCGTAATTCATGGGCATTTGACAATTTAAATTCTTAAGTCTGTCTTTTTTTCATTATGCAGAAGAACAGTCAGTAAATGTGGCCATGTTTTGTCTGTGAACCTGTAAAGCAATCACAACAATGTGTGGCAGTTTGTTTGATAAATGATAGATATGTGTAAATATTAACGGTAATGTACATATCTATGTAAATCTTTCTCATTTAGATATTTTAAACTCTTCACAATGTCAACAATTGACATTGATGTAAACCTACTAGACCATAAGCCTTTATATCAGTTAGCCTAAGGTAAGGTTCATCATCTGCTGCACTTTTTAAAAATCTTTTAGATTATGCTATTTTTGTACTACATGCCTCTTGTGAATAAGTGTGGATGGTGTTTTGGCATCTTTTTTGTTTTTTTAGAGGTTTAAAGTTGGCCCTCTTTTATTTCTATGTTCATTCCCTTCATTCTGATTGCTCATACTAATTACCTGGTTCTTCTTCTGCTTAATTTCAAGCACCCCGGAAATCCAAATACATCCCTTCGTGTGAGCTAGGAATGACCTCTCTAAAATAAAGTAAATGTAAACACCTTCATTAACTAGATATCTATAGAATTATACGGTGTTAAATTCATCATCACAGACATTCCTGCATTGCTGTGGATTACTGCTTTTAAAATGTGTTTGCTTTTAATGATAGCTAGCATCCCAGCCTACTATAGTGTTTAGTATTGTGAAGACCCGTCATTGATCACCAGTGGCCAGAGCTTATATATTTTATACATCATGAACAGAACCCAGAAAGGGCCCGCTCTGTGTGTGTGTTTTTTTTAAGGCCCCAGTGAAGCCGGGCTGGACTGTGGCCCCATGATGGAGAGAGGTGTCTCTGCAAAAGTGAAAACAAATTCTCTCCTTGGCTGGTGTGAGCTATGGCACTGTGAGGCTTTATTGTCCCGGCCAAGGTGATAAGGGAGAGTAATTGCGTATTATACTGTCCGAGAATGTCAGGTCCAAACTGAGCACGAGTGCCCCATCCATCAACACATGATGATGTGTGTTTATGTGTGTGTATGAAACTGTGTTCTACACTGCACATGCTTGCTTGCATGATGCATTATGTGTGTGCTCTCTTGTGCACGTGTGTGGAGTGTTTATGGATTCAGGGCAGGTATATTTGGACCTGTGTAGTCATATCAGAGATTAAAATTCCTATTTTGGCGCAAACTAAGGCTTGTTCATGTCTATGTATGTATGTATGTGCATGTTTTTCTTGCCCTGTGTGTGTGTGTGTGTGTGTGTGTGTTTGTGTCCGTGGGCAGGTTTAGATAGAGCCTGAGTGCAAGTCAGGCAGCATCATTAATCAGCAGAGGGTCGTGTGTGACTCTCTGAGCTGACATCATTACATCCTACACCCTGCAGTAGCTCACTGCTTGGCCTGTCCTAACTGACCAGCCCAAAGAACCACTAACTCACACAACATACACCTCTATTCCTATACCTTTCATACATTTGCGAAAGATACATAATGCATAATGGATGTCTTCAGACATATCTCTCTAATACACTCAGTAGGCCTCTAGATCTGCTCGCAGTCTCACAGCAGTTTGTCAACCACTGCTCCCAGCACCATTACACACTAAACCTAAACAACTGTAAGGGAAGACCATGACAGAATATCAAAGAATTCGCAGGATGTAAATATTGTTTGTGTTACAAGTTGTGTTTGGCTATTTGTGAAAGCGGTCTTTAGTCACTTGGTGGTTGTGGGCCTGCTTCACAGAGGCGTATTAGGCAATGAATGCTTTGAGAGTCTGTCCAAACATGGCTGCTCCCTGAGCTCCAAAGCCCAGCTTGAGTTTTTTCTAGAGTCGTGTGTGTGTGTGTGTGTGTGTGTGTGTGTGCGTGCGCGCAGGCGTGCATACGTGCGTGTGTCATCAGTGCAACAAAATAAAATGTTATTACAGCAAACCTTTCTTGGGAATGTTGCCAAGTGTTTATCTTATGTTTTCTCCCTCAAGACTCTCATCTTTTAATCTTTGGGGGGGTTTTTTTATTCCAAAAAGGAATGAGGTCTTTTATCTTTGTTTGTCTCCCATAGATCCAACTGTGCTGAGAACATCCGGAAGCACATTCTCCATACGGGCAAACACGAGGGCGTGAAGATGTACAACTGTCCCAAATGTAACTATGCCACCAACTCTCCCATGGAGTTCCGCAACCATCTGAAGGAAAGTCACCCTGATATTGAGAATCCAGACCTCGCCTACCTACATGCAGGTAATACATTGTTCAATTTGTTCTTGAGAAGGCTCTGTTTAAAAATAAATAATAAAGCGTTTCACAAATGAGTCCTTTCACCAGTTTAGCAAGGACCTGATTGTGTGGTGGGAGGGTTGGAGTTAGAGTCCAAGAATCTACTTTTGCAGCTGACCTGGCATTATCTACGCTTGTGCTTTTCTGTACCTCAGTGCCTGTTCTTAATATCCATGCATTTGTCAGTAGTAAGACTTGAACATTATTACATTCTTACATTGAGAAACAACAGTGCCTTGAAGACAGTCCCGAGCATAGTGTCAGTTAAAGGGACGCTCCACCACTTTTGCAGATGTTCAGTTTCCTAGTCATGGGAGTAACTACTAAAAGCACTTGTAGAATGCCGTCTTTATCTCTGGAGGAAGCTTTCTAGTGTGATAAAAATAACCCCAATGATGTCATATTGATGTCATCAGGGTGGCTCTCCCTGTATCTCTTGCTGTATCCATTTTGACCAATATTTTAAAATTTCTTTGAGTCCCTAACTTTAATGAAGTGCCAGTAGGTCACTGGACTGCCCCTGTAAGTGCCTTGCCGGAGGGCATTTCAACAGTAAATGGGAACATATTATGTTCCCCATCCACTATTTTTCTGCTATTTCAAGCATTTGAACCATACCACCTTCCATTTACTAACTTGTCCCACTAATACTCTACATTGCAATGTGTAATATGCACACAAACATCTACACACGTACAGTTTATACCCACAGACAAATCAACATTTGAAATCATTCCACTGAATTAAATCACCTGGCTGCCCCGGCAACCCTGCCCAGACCCTATTATTCCACAGAGGTCAGATCCTCCAGAAACCTAGAGTGTGTTTTTGTTGATGGATCGAGTCTTGCTATTCAATGCTGATGGAGGGCACCCAGCCACAAAGAGGCAGCACTCCGATTGCTGGTCTAGCCATCCCTGCCAATCACTCAGGCCATAGAGACAGATGAAATCTTGTTCTTCCTCTATTGGTTCCTTTGTATCACAGTGTTCTTCCTTTGTCCTTGAAGGCCACCAAATCCAATCGGCAGAGTGCTTGTCCTTCAGAGGAGCAGAGAGGACAGCCTTTATCCTGTTATCCCTTTGACCTTAAATAAAAGCAGTAGAGTTGTAGGGGAAAGAGGGAAAGAGGCCAGGCAGGAACATTACTGGAAAATGGCTGTATTCTGGCGGCTCTGTGTTTATTTCCTATTGAAACTGAATGGATCTGAGTTGTGTCTTTGTGCTGACTCTGAAAAGTTTATTTCTTTGAATTTCTCAAACAGGTTTATTCTTGGTGTAATTCATATTCTTCAAATTCAGGGACCACCTTCTGTCTATGATCTCCTTTACTACCATGTCCTTGCATCTCTGCACAACCTTTTTACCTTCACCTACTCTTAAAAACACCTCCCTGCATCATATTGTCTGTACCCTCTCACCTTAAGCCAAAGCACACCTTTACACCGATTCTTACCCTTTCACCCCAGAATTTCCCTCACCTCTATTTGTCCTTATGCATAGCTGACCTTTGGCAGATAAGTCTTACAGGTTTATTTTATTTCTTTGTGCCCCCCTTGGTGTGATCTTTTAACCCATAAGAACAGATACCAAGTAAAGAAGGCGATTCCTCTGTATTTGTCCAGGCCAAAGCTGTTGCTTCATCTTAAAGGTGGTGATGAGCCGGCTATGATTCAAACCAGCTATAGTAAGCAATGTAGGTTGTGGGTTTCAGTCAGATCTTGTCTGGATTGCACCTCGTCTTTCAGTCATTTAGAGAAAATACATCCTCCACTTTCAGTCAAGTTAAGCAGCATGTTTTCAAGATGTCACCTTCAGGGTTTTCCCTAGGTTTTTGGAGGGCAAAGGTGCTGTGCAGCTGTTTGACTTAAAATTATGCACGTCATTATGGACCCTCTGTTGTGGTGTGGACAGAGTGGACCCAAATGGAATGCTCAAGATTAACAGGTTTTATTAGGGGAAAGAAGGGCTTGAGGGACTGGAGTACAGGGAACCGAGGAGACTGAGACCAGAGAGCTGAGGGACACTGGGGGCCGAGGAAGAGAGGAGGCACGGGAGAACTGATCAGGGGGTTGGTGGAGGAGTGTGGTGGCAGGCTGACTGGGGAGGCACGAGGGAGAGCTGGGAGGACACCGTGGGGGAAGTCCGAGGGGAGAGGGCAGGTGAGCGAGCCCAGCTGACTTGACAGAGGATGAGGGTGACTGAACCTAGGTAGAGACAGACAGACAAACAGGGTTAGTGACTCAGGGAAAACCAAGAACAGGGAAACAGAGATCATGCAGGTTATACGAGCGCTTGAGTGATCAAGTGGCACTGGGTTAGGAGCAACGACGATCAAGCAGGGGTTGACTGGAGAACCGGGGTAGAAGTACTGTTGGAGATGAGGCTGATTGCTGGCAGGTGTGGCAGGCAGAGGAGGTGGCTTACGAGGTGCAGGTGCGGGTTGTTGGCTGGGCTCAGGAGTGGAGGGAGAGAGAGAGGGAGAGCACACGCAGGGGAGGAGACACAGGGAGGCAGGCAGAGTACAGGAAAAACAGAATCACAAACAAAAAGGAGAAATAACCAGGACACTCACCGTCAGGCGGGCTGCCACCACAACACCCTTTTTAGTACTAAATAGCACCCAAAAAGCTTAAAAAGGAAAACAAACCATACTTATTTAGTTATTTATTTTAGCATCAAATCATTTTAGGTCCAATAAAATGAGCAAAAACTGTGAAAATAATTAGAAAATTAAGATTCAAACAACAGGCATAGCAGTTAAGCGACAGTCTGATTGTACTTGTAACTACCTGGCTATTTGGAAAAAACAGTTGATGAACATAGTTTATCAGCGTTTATCATCGTGCATTAGTTAAAAACCACTTCCAACCCCACATACTAACAAAATGATCTGCTCTCACCACGGTGTTATGTCCGGATTTCAGCAAATTTATTTTACAAGTGCTCACAGTGATTGATGGCTACTTAACAAAAGTTAACTTATCAAGAGGGCCGCTTCGCTGTTGTGAATTATGCTAGCTAACTAGCTCAATAGCTGACAGTAATAATCTTTACAATTGTAGATAAATATGACTTGTGCTTTCTTAGATGCCCTACATTTGTTAGGAGTAGGTGAGAAAGGGGAAGATAGTGTAGATGACAATGTTTGTTACGTTTGGCTACTGACCAAAATTTATCTTCTGTGATTCTAGACTAATGGGGTGGATCGTCTCCACATTGTTTTTATGTTCATATGAAGACGGGGCACAAAAACGCTAATACGTTGCACCTAAGCCTCATAAAAGCCTTGATGCTCTAATTTATATTCTCTTCACACCAAACCACAGGTATGAATCCTGAGAATGACAGCAAAAGAAAATATTCAAAAATGCAGCTGATGGTGTTTCTTAACCTAAAAGAAAATCTTTACGGCACCAGTTTCCAGAGAGAAATTACTGATCCTACTTTGCTTTCATTGATGCATAACAGTTTGCTCTAAATCTTACTTGATGGTAGTGACACCTAAATAAACCATTGCAAAAATGCAGAAAATCAACAACCCTCTTTACTTGATTAAGACCAAAGCAATCAAACTATAGGTGGTTTAAAAAGGCATTGAAAGTACACTTGTGATCTCTCCCTCTTTCAAAAGAGGGAAAAGGGAGGTGGGGGTGTTAGCGCAAAGAGCCGTGTTTCATCTAAGTAGACAGAACGAGACCAAAAGAAAGAGACAGGGGAAAAAAGATTAAGAAGGTAGATGTTGAATTAACCTGCTTGTGATTGCTCTCTGTCAGAGTGGCACCAGGGCCAGCAGCGAGAGGCAAATCATCTGTGATGGCCCTTCCCGCTGTTCCGCCTTTGAAAGACACAGATCAAACGCACCCTAGTCATGGGCCCTTGCAGCCCCTCGCTCCGGATTGATTGACACCCGAACGTCTCCGCTGCTGCACTGTCTTTCCATATCACTCTCTCTCTCTCTTCCTCTCTCTCGCTCTCTTTCCGTCTTCCCTTCTTTATTCAGCGTCGCACTTCGAATTAAAGCCCTTCTCAAGGATGAAAGCAGAGGTCCTTTGCAAACGAAGGAAGAGAGGGAATTAGACCCAGCAAATGATGGAGGGGAATGATGATTAGAATTAGAGGGGGAAAAGGAGGGAAAAAAGAGGTTAGATATGTGAGGGGAAAAAGTTGCTGATAGGACACTTTTTATTAAAATGGTAATGACAATTGTCTTCCTTGTGCGATCTGCAGAA